AGTTTCGCCATCAAGAGTGATTGGATTTCCGTTCTCCGTGTTGTATTTCAGGACCTTAGTTTTGCCCATTGTGTATTTTGAGGCTTACTAGAACACAGGCAGGGACAACCAATTGGTTACAGAACTATACAGTTAATACTCCATTTGAAAAGTATCCATTAATTGTTTCAAACTTTGTTGTTCCTTCATTTTTATACCAATCAATCTTTGTTCTCATTCTCTTCTCTTTGATCTTCTTAACCTTCTACTGCCAGGAATTCGACATACATATTACTTATATCTGTCAACATCAGTAGTACATACCACACTACTACTACTACTACTAGTAACAATAATAATAGTATTATTACGTACTATTATCGCTATTATTATTGAGGATGCATAATTGATTAATCTTTAGGTATCGTCATTATTGTAAAGCTTATATCTAAATATCATCGAGTTCAAAGAAACTATTTATGAGTAAACTCTATAACTTTTATCTTACATTCAAATCCCGCGAGCGGGATCGTGGATTTGCACTGGCTGAGGAGTCCCACACTAGGACGAAACGGCTGTCCAGTGCTTCCAGGTTTTCAATGGTAGTCTAACATCAACCAGTTCATGATCTTAATCATTCAATTAGTGTTGTTTTACTTGTATCTTCCCATTGTTATTTAAAATTACAATCAATCTCTTATTGGTATATGTGATTGCTGTATGGATTGCCTCGATATTGCTTTAATTTACAAGTATTATAAGCAAAGATGGATAGATGGTGACTAGCAATGGAATTCAAGACTCATATTTCTTCCTAGTTGGAACTCGTCAATTGGATGTACCTTCATCTCACTGTTGATGTTCATTCTGGGACTCGAATTCAATAACATTCGTTTGAAATGTTATCGCATTATCCACATAACTACGGAGTGTTAATACCCATTTGCTTGTACAATAAGGTAAAGTTCAAATTCATTTGGTATTGTTGAATTGAATCATCTCATTGATGTTTTTAGCACCGAATATGTACAAACTGTTCGAATCACCTAGACATAGACTTAAGTCATAAGTATTGAAAGCAAAGATGGATAGATATTGGCTTACAGTGGAATCATACATTATGTCAAAAAGATATGGATGAGGACTATTTATATCTCATATCCTCATCACAATCATAAACACACACACAAACACTCACACACACATACATCCATTCATGCATATATCTATCACATATCATAGATAATCTAATATGAACTAGTTTAACTATAATTGTCAGTTTTATCATTAATTCATATAAACTGACACATTATCTATAATATTTACTCTGATATATATATAAAGTAATATAATCAAATATTTATTAATGTTAAAACTGAGGTGATAATCTTTTTTGTTACTTTGGGAAATAGATAGATAGGGAGAGAGTGAGAGATGGAAACAGGGGGAGAGAGAGAGAGGGTGGGAGCTTGAGAGAGAGAGAGAGGGGGGAGTGAGTGAGTAAGTGAGTAAGTGAGGGGATATAGAAATGATGAGTAAAATAAAAAATGTATAATTACACTTTACATTTGTAATAATTAAGATAGAAGCATAAAATATGCGTATTTATATATTCCCTAAAGAATAATAAATGATAAATAATTATGATTATAAATGTAGAGATTTTCCATAAATTCAATTTAATTGTTGTTGTTTTTTAATAGTTGAATCTAAGTTGGACTATCATTAAAGATTTGGAATTATTGAACGATTGTTTCGTCCTAATATGGGACGTTGGATTCGAACTTGTGACCTTTGCTCAATCTGGAGCCTCTATCGAGCGATTTAGTCCCAGTATAGTACTCCTTAGAAGTGTGTCTCTACGATCCCATATATGGAATGTGAACCCAGAACTGTTGATGTTGGGTGTGAACGCCTAACTATCTAAGCCATTCATTTATGACATTGAGTAGTGAATGCTCTTTATAATAAAACTAATAATACAAAACAATGAATATAGAAATGGTAACTAAATGATGTGTTAGTTCTTATTGGTCCCTATTTATATAACGATATTATAGAGAAAGCATAAGATAAAGGTGAACACTAATATGACTCTACCTCAGCTATACGAAAGATAACAGATTTCTTTTCTTTTAACAATGAAAAGTTATATATTTGACTAATCAAACATTCATTCAATGACAAATGTACAATGATAGGTAACGTTTGGTACCGTTTTGTAAAAAATGAAATATACACTATTGATTAAACAGATGGCTCTCATTTCTAGGAGGCATAGATACTTCTCAATTTAGTTAATAAAGTTTCCTCTTGCTTTGTGATGTGTGCTACTGATTTCAACAGATATAAGTAGTATGTATCATTTATTGAAAGTAAAATGTCTGACGTTAGAAAGTTAAGAAGATCGACGAAAGAGAGAACGAGAACGGACATTCATTGGTATGGAAATGATTGATTGACATTTTGCAAATGAAGTATCTACTATATGATTCCTAGGTTGTACTAAGAGATTCTGTAATTTCATCAAGATGTATTCGATTGTCCCCATTTGTATTGTCGTTTCAATGGTTGCAATGCTAACCGATGTTGGGGATGTTTGGAAGAAAGTTAGGGGCAGCCAAACCAAAACGTGGCATCAGTGCTTGAAGACACTAACTTCTAGTCTGAGCCATATTTGGGGTCCATGTGACCAGCATTACCAATGGTCGGAGACTCTTGGTGACATGGCTCAGAATCGATGACAACGGCGTACTAGTATACACTCTCTGTCTTCCCTCAAAGTAAGAGATAAAAATCGCTTCATATCTTTCTACGAACTAACTCTTTTTCCCCTATACTATGTCCTTATATGCAATCTTTCTTTTATATATTACCATCATTGACTTGACCAATCCTATGAATCCAGTGTTCATCTTGTTGAGCTAATGCGGTATGTCAACTTGGACCGATGTATATATATGTCTGCTCCTACATTGTAGCTGACTGACTGACAGAGTGTGTTGTCGTTCACTAGACCTTCACTGTATTCTCAATCAAGGAGTCTACTAGGTTTTAGCAAAGGATGCTTATGCATGAGTTGCTAGAACAGGAAATATCACCATATTAAGATCTAATTTGATATGAATTTGTCATGTATAACATACAACATTCATTTTGTATCAATGTACCATAGAACTTAACCTTCATTTTTGGTTATTTTCAGTTGTTAGGCTCAAGATCTTGACTACTGATCCAACTATTAACTAATTAATTGAAGGTTTTAGCTAAATGACTGAAATGAGAAAAACCTGATTCATTGAATTCAAACGCATTAACTTAAACATTATAAACAAAGATGGATGGTGGGTAGCAGTAAAATCCAGGATGCACATTTTCTCTTATTTGGGACACGATAGATGAATGTGTCTGCATCCCATCTTTGTTTATAATGCTTGTGAATTAAGGCAATATCGAGTCAATTTGTAAACGATGCACACTGACCAATAAGAGATTGATCAATTACAGTCCTAAAGATCAATAGGAAGATTCAAGTAAACAATATCAAGTGAATTTAAACTTTATTCTATTACACAAGCTAGTAGCTTTCAGGACTCGTTAGCTAAGTGGATAATTCAATGACGTTTGAAACGAAAGGTACTAGTTTCGAGTCCTAGACTAAACATCAACTCTAGGATTCAGATACATATAGCTGACGAGTCCTGAATTGAACGAAACTCGCATCCTGGATTCATCTTTACTTATAATGCTGGTGCAATGACTTTTGATAATTACAAATAGCTATGCATAATGATTTATACATGATCATTTAAGGTAGCTAAGTACTGTATCTTCTCAATTAAATGTTATTTACCAGAAATATTTCTCAATGAATTCAATTAGAAATAAACAGATTTATTGAGTGAGTTAGGAGCGATATAAGGGTGAGATGCATGATGAGAGATTATCATTATTATTGGCTTTATTCAATATGGATTTGCTGAAGTTCTAGTACGTAGTCGTGACCAGTGTCATTCAGCCGTATTTCTTGTGAGGAAGTTACTCCTTGAAAACAGTGGTGGACGGTTGCACAATATCGTGAATTGGTTAAAATTAAACAATAACACCATTGGATCCCGGTCAGTTCAGTGATCTGGAGGTTAAGCGTGCATGCGCGAGACTGAAGGTATTGGGTATGATTCCCATGCGCGCTCCTGAGCAATCCCATTCTAGGACGCGAACGATCGTCCAGTGCTTGGTCTAACATTGATCCCTTCATGATCTCAATCTAAACTCAATATTATATTTTTAGTAGAGCACAAAATACTCAGCAAAAATTATTTCAACAAATTTCATTTTCTGATTTCTTGATTGATCGTAACCATAAGTATTGACTAATGGCCACTTAGTTGTTAGCAGTTCAACAATCGACATCTGAATAGTGTTCATTCTTTTCAATGTATATTGCTAGCAACCATGATATCTTTGATTGGGCTCTTCCGTAGCTTATACACCGAAAGATTGTAAACTTTACATAAACACATCTGAATAAGTTATGCAATCAGTAAACATAATAGTGTATTAAAATAGACAAAGCGTATAGTAGGGAATATCAAGTACCTCAGATATTTAAGCAAATCTCTCGTAATAAGAATGTTCAGTGGGACTATAATTTATAGACGAACCAATCAGATATAAAATAACAGGTCTTAGATTTTGGAGGGAAATTCATTCATTCATTTGCTTAAACAGAGTCTTAGCATTATAGTTGATGTCACTTCGAGATGCGAAACCCGAAATCTAATTTCTAACCTTAAACATCAACTGTAAATCATAATTATAATTCCCCATACTGGTTTATAATCCTCATTTAATGCTAGTTATTATGTGAGAACATTCAAGGTTAATATAACGTCTCTAGAAGGTCGTCTATATATGATATTCTCACTGAATGTTCAAAAGAAACAAATGAGATGGAAGATTGGAACCCGCTTTTTATTTTAAAACTTGAAGAATAATATTTCAACGAAAATTTCAATGAAATGATCACTACTACTGCCAATACTACTACTACTACTACTACTACCACTACTAATACTACTACTAATACTACTACTAATACCACTAATATTACTACTACTATCACTACCACTAATACTACTACTACTACCACTACTACTACTACTACTACTACTACTACTACTACAACCACCACCTCTACTACTACTACTATTACTATCACTACCACTACTACTACTACTACTACTACTACTACTAGTACTACTACTACTACTACTACTACTACTACTACTACTACTACCACTACTACTACTACTACTACTACTACTATCACTACCACTACTACTACTACTACCACTACTACTACTACTACCACTACTACTACTACTACTACTACTACTACTACTACTATCACTACCACTACTACTACTACTACTACTACTATCACTACCACTACTACTACTACTACTACCACAACTAATACTACTACTAGTATTACTAGTACTGACACTACTGCTACTGCTACTACCTTTACTATCACCACCACCACTACTATTATCTGAAATACACATCCAGGGTCATAAGAATATTAATAATAATAATGATAATGTTTTTTCAGTCGGTAAATTTATTCAACCGATTGATTTCTAATTATTTCTTCTCAATATCAATGACAATCTCAATGAAATGTAAACAGATTTAAAAAGAGAAAATAGTTTTTTTTTCTCTTTTTTTCTAAAAAAAGAAAACAAAAAAATAAAAAAAAATACAAACAAAAAAAACAAACAAACAAAAAGTAACGTATATAAAAATGATGAAAAAAAATTTTTGAAAAAAAAGAAAGAAAAAAGAGAGAGAAAAAGAAGAGAAAAAAAAGAGAGAAAAACTGTAATAAATTACTTTGATTAAAGTTTATCAAGGCATAAATAATAATTAGAATATTTCCTGGGATAAAAAAAAAAATTTACGACTATAATCAATATTGTTTAGTCTATAAATACGATCCATCTATCAATGTATCTATGCATCTATCAATGTATCTCTATGGGCAACTAACTGTATGTGTATTATTATACTGATTTGTATATATATATAAATGATAAATTACATTATTATTATTATTATTATTATTATTATTATTATTATTCATTTGGATAATTTTATAAAGTGTCATTCTAATCTAAAGTTGATTGCACTACCTACATAAGGAGTTGTATTGATGTTATTCAAACAAGCACTTATAAGATGGGAATCTCATAGATTAAGGAACATCACCATACCTTCTTCAAAACAATGAAACAGGGACATTTTAGTATGTGCTACTTATATAGACATAATAAGTAGTATATAATGTTAGTCATGAACAGAATATCTGATAGCAGAGAGATAAGAAGATCAAACAGTTATGAATAAAAACAGAATATGATTTGTATGGAAATGCAAGAACTATAAGGTTTGAGTCATTTTGAGACGATTAATGGACATTTTGCAATTAAACATTTACTATATGATAGTTAGATTTGATTAAGAAGCCTTGTATTTTTGTATTAAGTACATTCGATTGTCTTCCGCTCGTATTCCTGTTCACTACAATATTATAATGAATATTATCTAATGCTATGCATCTACCATTGACTACAATGAAGACATAAAAGATCAGTTCTATGATAGGCTGTAGTTAATTGTTGAGAAATGCTCAACAAAGGTTTTGATCATTTTGATAAGAGACCTAAATGATAAGGTTGCAATAGACAATATCGGTTATAAGGATATCATGAGCTAAGAGAAAGGAATGAAATTGGTGAGGGATTTGAAAACCTATATGCATCCAATAAATTGGTGATAGGCGGCACTATATTCCTAGACAAACACATACACAAAATCACATGGATTTCACCGATTTACACTATGCAGAACCAAATCGATCATATTTCTATCAACAAAAAGCTCAAGAGGATGTGAAAACCAAACGAGGAGTTGATATAGCAACAGATTATCGTATGCTAGTTGCCAAGATGGAATTGAAATTTAAGAAGTACTGCACAACGCGACGGAAAACATCACAAAAGTTTAATACGACTCTTCTTCGAGATACTGGCAAACTCAACAAATTCAAGATAATCCTCAGCAATAGATTCCAGGCCTTTTACGATCTACTCAATGGAGGACCATTGCAAGGGGATCAAAGATGAAATCACTTCAACATGTCATGAGGTTCTAGACCACAAGAAGCAATGTCAAAAGGAATGGATCACTGTTAATACACTGGATAAGATTCAAGAAAGGAGGAACAAAAAGGCAGCAATCAATACCATCCAAACAAGAGCACAGAAAGCCAAAGCACAAGCTGAATACTTAGAAGTAAACAAACAGGTGAAGAAGAGCATCAGAACTGACAAACGTAAATATATGGAAGATCTAGCAATGACAATGCAAAAGGCTGCAAGAGAAGGACACATGAGACAATTGTATGATACAGCTAAGAAGCCAGCTGGAAATTACCATAAATAAGAACGATCAGTGAAAAGCAATGAAGGTAAAATACTCACCAACGTTGAAGAACAACGAAACAGCTGGGTGGAACACTTCAAAGAACTCTTGAGTCGACCAGCCGCACTGAACCCACCTAATATCGAAGCAGCACCCACTGAACTCCCAGCCGATGTTGGCCCACCAACAATTGAAGAGACCAGAATGGCCATCAGAAAAATCAAGTGTGGCAAAGCAGAAGGACCAGACAACATCGCAGAAGAGACACTGAAAGCCGATGTATCAGTAACTGCAAAGGTACTCCACATTCTCTTTAGCAAGATTTGGGATGAAGAACAAGTACGAACAGACTGGAAAATAGTACGCCTGTTCAAGATACCAAAGAAAGGCGATCTCAGCAAGTGTGATAGCTACAGGGGAATCACTCTTCTCTCAATACCAGAAAATGTCTTCAACAGGGTATTGTTAAACAGGATGAGGGACTCCGTAGATGCCCAACTTCGAGACTGAAACGCTGGACCACGTAAGGATAGATCGTGTACAGACGGAATCGCAACACAACCGATCATTGTGGAACAATTGAACGGAATTCATCACTCTACATCAACTTCATTGACTACGAGTAAGTATTTGATAGGGTGGACAGAACAACATTATGGAAGCATCTTCGACACTACGGCGTGCCTCAGAAGATAGTCAATATCATACGGAATTCCTATGATGGATTAAACTGCAAAATCGTTCATGGAGGACAGTTGACAGACTCGTTTAATGTAAAGACCGGTGTCAGGAAAGATTGTTAACTCTCACCCTATCTCTTTCTTCTGATGATCGACTGGATCATGAAGGCATCAACATCTGAAGGGAAGCATGGGATACAGTGGACATCTAGGATGCAGCTGGACGATCCACACTTTGAAGATAGTCTGCCCCTTCTATCGCATACGCAACAGCAAAAGCAGGAGAAGACGACCAGTGTAGCAGCAGCAGCCTCAGCAGCTGTCCCACAATAGGACGAGTCGGTCGCCCAATTCCTAATGGTGATCTAACACCAATCGGTTCATGGTCTCAATCAAGAAGTATATTCATATTGAAGAAGGACTCAAACGATCAACTGCCATTCATGGATATAATAATCACTAAAATCGATCAAACAATACTAGATATTCAATAATATAAAAAGTCAACCTATACTGAATTCACCATCAAATATATCAGTAATAATCTCCATGTCCAACTCACAACTTCAGTTATGTACAAATACTGAATTATTGAAGACACTTTGGGACAAGGACAGTATTCTGAGAAATGAAAAACAAAGTATTTCTATTCAGACAGAGATACATAAACAAATTGATTAAGAAATACTTACTTACTGCGCTCTCGTGTTGGGGGTGTTGTTTACGAAATTGAGATGATGAAAGAGGAATGTCCGGCAGGAGCTTTAACCGGGTTAGTGGACGCGGAGAGTCCACCTAGGGGAGTTGGAAAACATTGATTCCAAACCAATAGTGTACATGGACTGCAAGATCCTGAGGAAACAAATGGCGTATGAATGAATTATTGGTTACTGGCTACAATCGGAATACATCTCCTTACGTTGCTCCACTGTCTTGTGGATCAGACCTTTAGGTCAAAGGCTTGGAGTGTGGCCCTCTAAGAAAACCACCTGTTTCTGTTTGGGCACCAGGACAGTATTCCAGTCCCCACATAAATCGAATGATTTATATGGCGCATATGTATTTAGTGCCTTTTTATACCACTATTGATGTGCTTAAATAAATAAATTAATCCTTTCTATGCATTTTCTATATTGTTCCACTTGTAATACAAATTACTTGTCATTTGTCAATCAGACTGTAGGCATACTATGGTGAAGCCGATTCTCCATCTACGTACTTCTGTTGTTTAATCACAACTCAAATCACAGCTAACCTACGGCGATATCATAATGAATGAAAACACAGACAGGAAGAACCAAATATATTTCAATACAAACTCTGTGTACCATATAGTAAATATTTCATTTGCAAACTATCAATCAATCGTCTCAGATTTCATTACACCTTCATTCTTACACGAATCATTCTTTGTTCTCTATCTCTTTTCTTTGATCTACTTCATCTTCTACCTATCAGGTATTTCATTTTCAAACAATGATGATTATAATAATATACTACTTATATCTTACGACATCAGTAGTATACACAATACTATTCCTATCTATATATTACTTTTTTTTTTCTATTTTAAAAGTATTCTTTAGATTGACAGACTTAAGTGAAATATCTCTTATCTAATATTATAAAAGTATTATTGACATATACAAATAAAATGTGTACTTTGATACTATTTTTCATCTTATATTCTCTTTAAATTTTCTTTCTTTTACTTTTCTTTTTTTTCTTTTTTTCTTAGAAAAAAAAATCTATTTCCAATCTATTGACATAAAGGAAATAGACAGAGAGAGAGAGGGGGGAGGGAGAGAGAGATGGAGAGGGAGAGGGGGGATAAAGGGAGAGGGAGGGAGAGGGAGGGGGAGGAGGGAGAGAGAGAAAGAGAAATACACTTTTCACAATGTTTTTTTCTCAACTTTTACCTATGAAAGAAAAATTATAAAAAAAATAAAGAAAAATAAATGGAGATAAATGTCTCTTTTTCTACATATATTGAATTAATCAATAGATTCTTATGGTTTGAATAAATAAAAGTTCTTTATTGAATAGTTGAATTCATGAATCCATTAAAGCTAGACCACCATAGAAGATCTGGAACTATTGAAGTAACATTTCATCCAAGTATTGGATTCTTTAACAGTGAGCATCCACGATCTCATACGCATGTGGGATTCGAATCCAGGATGTATTGGTTTCGTGTGCTAACGCTTAAACTCTACACTATTGAGCCGGTACCTAATGGTGTTAATGTCTAAGTTTAACCAATCCAAAAAAATTGACCCACTGTCTACCATTGTCTTCAGTGAGTTACTATCTCATAACAGAGTTGATTGAAATCTTTTGGTCACGACCTCTCACTCGGACTCCAGGAAATACCTTTTGGAGACAGTCATCAGGGAATTTTAATTGACTCATGAATTCTACTATTAAATTACTTTAATATCCATAAAACCACTTTACGTTTATAATTATTTATATGTTTTTGTATATATAGACAAACTTTCTATCAATGTAGTAGTTTAGACAAAATTCATTTGAGTAAATAAAGATATATATTAAGGGTTCGCATGCGAGACTGTTAGGTACTGGGTTCGAATCCTGAGAGGTAGGATCGTGGATACTCATTGCTGAGTCCCATACTTGGATGAAATGGTCATCCAGTGCTTCCAGATTTTCCATGGTGACCCAGCTTCAAATGACTCATGAATTCAACCATTAAATTACTAATACCTCCATAAAATCCGCTTCTGAAAATGGTATTAAAGATAAGAAATCGTAGACTTGTGTTTCATTCTATTTAACATTTGTCAATAGTTTAAACGGAAATGATACTCCCTGTTAAAACTCAAATCTAGCATAAATCAGCTAAACAGTTTTCTATTGAGCTATTCGATAGAATTTATTAATTACAGAAGGATTAGTTAAACATGATGTCGGTCACCTCGCATGGATCAATCCATTCCAAAATATGAAGACAATGAAAGACAGTTGCAAAATATCGTTAATTGGTTGAAGTTAGACATTAGAATTGTGAATGCTGGCTTATTCGTCTGGATGCTAAGAGTTCACGTGCAAGACCGAAGGTACTGGGTTCAAGTGATTTTGGTACGGGATCGTGGATACACATTGCTCACAAATCTCATACTAGAACGAAATGACCTTCCAGTACTTTCAGATTTTCAATGATGGTCTAACATTGATCGGTTACATAAGATAGACTATAAATTACTGGTTTAACAATACGAACTATTGATGTTATCCATTTTGGTTAAGACATATGTACTCTACAATGAATATGGTAAAGATCAGATCAAGTCGTATGATACGAATAATACTAGTAGGACCATATTTTGTAATATATGAACATACTACCTATAATTAGTCAGTAGTGTTATTTTAAATATGACTTTATGTAAATTTAAAAGACTGGACTTGTTTTCGATGTCAACTATTCAACTAAGTTGACATAATGTTGATTAAGAAGAATAATCACTTTCTTTGGAAAAAGAATAGGACGTTATCAGATGGTTGAATGTAGTCCTTAGAAGATCTCAAGTTTCATGGTTGTATTTTTCACCTAGATTGACCCGTCACCCTAGGTAGCTAGTGATCCATTTAAGATTCAAATCTATTACAGTTTGTAATACTATCAAAGAGATATTCAAGACCCATTTGACTTTCCATAGGATTGAGATATTTACAATAATTTATCAGTGATTAGTGGTCGATGTCCTGTTTGTCTCGTCTTTACTGCTGATCAAATTCTATCGAACAAGTTGTAATGTGGCCTAGATTATCCCGTCGTTGATATTTTTTAAAATATTTTTTTTTGGGGGGGGGGTTAAATACCGTACATACTGAACAAGTGAGTAGGTCATCATGAACTCAACAGTGATGGTGTTTGAAACAAACGATACTAGTTTAGAGTCCCATAGTGAATATCATCACACTGAGATGTAGGTAAATCTAGCTGTTTAGTGCCAGAAATTAGGAAACACTAGTCCTTCATTCCACTGTCAGCCACATTCCACCTATTCATTAATATAAGGAAAGAGTTCATCCTGTATTATTATCCAAATGATCAAACTCTTGTGTTGCAACATTTAAAACTCACCGTTTAAGATGTTATAAAGAAAGTCTTGTAATACAGTCATATGAAACATACAATTTACTTGCTTGTGTAGTTCTGAAATACACCCTGAAACTTAAGAAATACACCCCATCATCTTTGAGATGGATCGTTTCAGAGTACATACTGGAACTTAAACCTTCCATCCACCAGTATGATTCATAGAACTATACACATCACTAAAATTCTATAAATATGGCTAAAGTATAGAACTTATCAGTATAGGGGTTGTGGAGATTATAATGTTTTTGATTGAGATCATGAACCAATTGATATTAGACCATCATTGGAAACCTGGAAGCACTGGACGACCGTTGTTTAATTAATGATTTGTACGTCAATCAGTCATCTTCTGTAGTCTCGTTTCCTTTGCGCCTACATAACAGTTTCGTTCCACTGTAGACAATTAAGGAAACGAAGTAGGGAAAAGAAGGTGAGTAATGTACAATTGTTTGATCACTGAGCGGTGATCAATGTCATGTGTGTCAGGTCCTTCTCAGTTCAGATCAAATCCTATCGACCAAGTTGCATTGTGGCTAATAGTTTAGATGATCCAATAATGCGTGCACTATGTCGAGATAAGATGGTGGTTGGACATAGTCAACAGGAAACCCTGGACACAGGTTTCGTGCTACTTGGCACTCGTCAGCAATGTATACCTGTAATCTTGAGCAAGCATCAGTTTCAGGGTTTCCAGTCGACTACCTTCAACCACCATCTCAAGGCGAGTAAGCCAAAATTTGTGAACCAATAGATGTTACATCACTTCCTTTAGAGTTTCATACTTCATGTAAAAGAAGAAGGATCTATGAATTTAAGTTATTATCAACTCATGGATGAATACTTCTAATCACCATTTATCCATCATAATGTGTACAGTCAAGTAATGAACCTATCCTGTTCAAATCTCCTTTATTCTGATAAAGGTCAGACTAAATTATAAATATTCTAGATATGTGTATGTCGGCGTTATGGTTGACAATTTCATCAAGGACATGAGTTTCTTTCAATTTTAAACTTATTAGCTATCTATACCTGAAACTCAGTATCTATCTTATCTTCAATATTGTTAAGCCATCTCAACAATTGTTTATTTCCCTGTTTAGGTTTATTTAGAATACATCACATTCCTCCACAGCTCAATTTCGTTGGTTGGTTGACGTTAGATATTAACACCGTTGGATGTAGGCTCAGTGGTGTAGAGTTATCTCATGAGTCCAAAGGTCTTGAGTTCAAATTCCGCGCGGCGGGATTGTGAATGTGCACTGCTGAGGAGTCCCATAGTAGAACGAAGCGGCCGTCCAGTGCTTTCAAGTTTTCCTTGGTGGTCTAATTTCTTGAATTGTTTACTGTGGATAAATGTCGATTAGAGTTTTACAGAAATAAATGTACCTATTTAAATTATTGTAAGTAGCATAAAACGTTTTTTTGAAATTATCAGAGCGTTATTTTCAAAGGAAACATCTAGTCCATAACATACTTACACCTGTTACTTCTCATGGAGGAGCATAGGCCATCCACCAGCACTAGACTATAACATGCTATTACTATTTACAGATCTTCAGAGTGATATAGGCGAACATATATGATAGTTTTTAATAAGACTTTAATTTATGGATCACCTTGCTGACAAAGCAAGAGCAGAATATCTACAACTGGAGAACATCTGAAACTCAAAACAACTGTCTGTCAAACAACACCGAAGTCAGAGTTTTTCATACAAATATGAAGACAGTTCTACTGCATGTGGCGGAAACTTGGAGAACTACGAATACCATCATCCAGAAGATACAAGTGTTTATTAACAATTGTCTACACAAAATACTTCGGATCCGTTGACCAGACACTATTAGCAACAACCTACTGTAGAAGAGAACACACCAGATTCCAGCGGAGGAAGAAATCAGGAAGAAGCGCTGGAAGTGGATAGGACACACATTGAGGAAAGCACTCAACTGCATCACAAGGCAAGCCCTCACATGGAATCCTGAAGGCCAAATGAGGAGAGGAAGACCAAAGAACACATTACGTCGAGAAATGGAGACAGACGTGAGAAGAATGAACAACAATTGGATAGAACTAGAAAGGAAGGCCGAGGACAGTGTGTGTTGGAGAATGCTGATCGGTGGTCTATGCTCCATTGAGGGTAACATGCGTAAGTATATATATAACAGATTTGTGAACTGAACACTGTAGTTTTTCAATATAGGTGCTAGGGTTTTACGGAGATATTTGAATATCATTTAGATCATGCGAGTGTCCACCTAATGGTTTATAGCTGATAGTTAAGCTTAGGAATGAGATTTAATGTTTTCACCATGATCTGACATCAGCTATAATGTCAAAATTCCATTTAACCAAACGGATGAATGAATTTTGCGCCAAAATCTAAGGCTTGTTATCAGCAAAGCGCGTCCAAAATCCCATTCCATGGAACTCGAACCAAGGGCCTTCAGTCTGGTGAAAGAGCGGTATTGTTGTTTAACCTCAACTAATCTACGAAATCTAGCTGAGGTGTTCCATAATCGGTCAGCTTAGTAGTTTACAGGTTAAGTTTTTGCGTAAGATACCGAATGTTCTAGATTTGAATCCTGCAAGTACACTAAAGAGTCTCATACTAAGAAGAAACAACTATCCAATAGTGCTTCCAGATTTTCCATGATATTCTCAATTCAATTCATTCATGAATTCATCTATCAAAATTCATATATCAACTTAACTTTAGCTCTTTACAACTGTTCACTGATATAGAACTATTACAAATTATCTTCAATTATCATGTTATTCTGATATTCAATAATCAATTATTTAATCAATATAGATCAAATATCATGTGATTTGATCGATTCATTTTCAAATATCCTTTAAATTACAAAACTATATTCATTTATAATACATCATGAATATTGAGAATTTTAGATGAAGATCTTCAAGCCAAATCAAACCAAATCAAATCAAAGAAAATTCCATGGAATTAGATCTAAACTATGAAATTAACAATGAAAAAGAAGTTTTTCAATAGATTTATAAAAGTATTTCATTTAATTCATAGAAAGAAATATCATCTAAATGAAAATGAATTCCTATCAGAAGATCTTTATGGAATATGTTCCACTAATCTATTTCCAAAATGTATATTCAATAAAGAAGGATCTATGAAAGGTGATAATGTTGATGATGATGATGAAGATGATGATGATGATGAGGAGGAGGAGGAGGAGGAGGAGAAGGAGGAGGACAATGAAATCTCATCGATTTTTTCCATAAGAACACAAAGTATGCAACATAATTCGCTGAATTCACATCAGAAAAAGCATGATGTAATTAAATATGTTCTAGGTGATCCTCAAACAATGATGAATCATTTCACAAAGAAAATTAAACAAAAAATACCACAATTATCTCATAAAAATATAATGGATAACACTAAAACAAATGAAGTCTCTATGGTGAACTTGAATAACTTGACGACTCCTCTTCATTCTCCTGCTCCTCCTCCTCCTCCTCCTCAACAACAACAACAACATACTACTACTACTACTACTACTAGTACTGCGTCTTTGAATGAGAAATCAATAAAGGAACTATCCAAGAAGGAATTAAAACGAAGACACATGAACAAGGTTAAAACAAATGAAGTCCCTATGGAGAACTTGAATAACTTGTCGATTCTCCAACAACAACAACAACATACGACTACAACTGCTACTATTAGTAGTACTAGTACTTCTGTAAATCAGAAATCAACAAACGGACTATCCAAGAAGGAATTCAAACCAAAAGATATGGATAATGTTAAAACAAGAAATGAAGTCACTATGGAGAACTTGAATAACTTGACCCCTCCTCCTCAACAACCACAACCTACTTCTCCTCCTTCCCCTTCTCCTCCTCCTCCTCCTCCTCCTACTACTACTAGTACTACTACTACTACTACTACTACTACTACTACTACTACTACTACTACTTTGAATGAGAAATCAATAAAGGAACAATCCAAGAAGAAATTAAAACCAAAACATATGGATAATGTTAAAACAAATGAGGTCCCTATGGAAAACTTGAATAACTTGACGACTCCTCTTCCTCCTCCTCCTCCTCAACAACAACAACAACATACTACTACTACTAGCAGTACTGCGTCTTTGAATGAGAAATCAATAAAGGAACAATCCAAGAAGAAATTAAAACCAAAACATATGGATAATGTTAAAATAAATGAGGTCCCTATGGAGAACTTGAATGACTTGACTCCTCCTCCTCCTCAACAACAACAACAACAACAACAACAACAACAACAACAACCATATGCTACTACTACTTCTTTGAATGAGAAATCCACAAAGGAACTATCCAAGAATGAATTCAAATCAAAACCTAATTATAAACAAAAAAAAGATAAAATCTCAAAGAAAACAATCTCTTCTAATAAAATTCATCAACAGATTGATGAAGACAAATCGAAATGTAAAAAGACGAAACAATCTGATATATCTAAACAGATTATAAATCAACACTTAATTGATAAACTAATTACTACATCAAATACAATATCCAATATAAATGATCTAAATATTCAAAGAGATGATAATATAATGGAACAATTGGATCCATTGAATGTTCAAGATAAATTAAAATCAAATACAATGAAACAATCTAATGATCATTTTATTCATAATGAAATAATTAATCAATCAATGAGAATACCATCAGTAAGTCTTGAAGAGACTTCAAATAAAATGAATCCAACGGAATTAATCAATGTAATAAAATCTATTGAATCCATTCATTATCCAATTAATGTAACCATGGCAACAATTGATCATATAAATATTCCATTAACAACAAATAATCAATATATTGAAAAAGATTTAAATTATATTAAAACATTTAATCATATTATTAATTATATTGATTTAATATATCATAATAATCATAAACAAATTGATTATGTTATAGAGAAAGACAATAAAGATCAAAACTTGGTTGATGTACATGACAACAACAATGATAATCATTATAACATCTCTACCAGATTAAAAGACAATAGTATTCAAACAGATCAAGAACCAACAGAAATATCGATCTGTCATATAGATCATCCAAATGAGATCTTATCGAAACAAACTCATCAGATACAAAAAATAACAAAAGATTATCTTGACAATAATTATAAGAATAAATTAAGAAGTATTCATAATGCACAGAATAGATCTATACAAGAGAAAGATTATATACATTGTAAAGTATTCAATGATGAATCATCCAGTGAAACTATTTCACAACAAACATATTCATCAATCTATAATAATGATTATCGATGTCAATATACACAATGGTATAATAATCAACCATATAATCATGATCATGATCATCATCATCATGATCATCATCATCATGATCATGATCATCGTCATGATTATTCAATTCATCACAACTGTATGCTTAATGATATGATGAAATCTTCACGATTATATCCATATTATTGTAAACAATCGAATATAAATCAATTTAAACATCATAATGGATGTTACCATGGCAACTCTTGTAAACAGACCTATTTCAATAAACATCGATATTCTCATCTAAAACGATATTTATCTCCTCAAATGATAAAATTATTAAGGAAACAATCCAAGTATAGATTACCATCTAGAGATAGAGAACAATATTGTAAATGTACAACATCAAATTATCAACCATTTAATGAATATGATCCTTCTATGAATCTTCATTCATTGACTAATCCTATAGCATTAAATCGATTCAATACAATACAACAATCACAGTTGATGAATAACATGACAAATCCTATAAATATACAACCATGGTATGGTACGTTAAGCTTACCAATTATAAGACAACCAAGAGTTATCATAAGACATATACCAATACCAATGATTATACCATATTGTACTCCTATGAATTCATATTCATTATCTAACATGAATCCTTATGTTTATCCTCATAATATAACTTCTAATATATCACAACCAATACATTATGGTTTACCATATTATCAATATACATGATATGTACAGTTATCATTAGTGAAATATACTTTTCACAGTTATATGTTTATACTTTCATTAAGAGTATTTCATATGATGGTGATTAAAGGTAGTTCACAGGAAAACTTGGATTTAGGTTTCATGATTGTTTTTGGTATTCATCCACAAGTTGTACTTGATGCTGCTTGATAGATTCGATCCTGTATCAGCTAGCTTTACAGTCAAACATGTTACTGTTGTGACTTTTTTTATCGGGTTGCAAGTTACATGTGATCTTGAGTGCCACGTGTTGTGTATGCCTAAAGATCGATTATCACGATGCGCAATGCTAACTATTATTGGGGATGGTTGGAAGAAAGTTAGGGGTGAACAAACCGAAACATGGCATCAGTGCTTGAAGTCATTAATTTCTAATCTGAGCCATTTCGATGGTAGATGGTTGGGGTCCGCGTGACTGTTCTAACCAATGGTTGGAGACTCTTGGTGACATGGCTCAGAATCGATCACAATGGCGTCGGTGTATACACTCTCTGTCTTCCTTTAAACTAAGAGATTAAAATCACTTCATATCTTTCATTCTACTAATTAAATCTTACTTCCTGTACACAATCTTGCTTTGATATATTACCACCATTGAATTAAGTACTTCTATGAATCCGATGTTCATCTTGTGCTTATGAGATGTGGCACCTTAGATCGATGCATATATATGCCTGGTCCTAAATTGTTGCTAACTGACTGACTGCTAGTTACACGTGATTTGTTCGCCAATCGAAATACGACTTATACAACCTTAATACTGTGCCAAACCAATGATGTTCGACCGATATGAGCAGCCTAGCGTCTTTATTGGTCTTTTGTTCGCCTAGTCCGTTCAGTTGAGTCCAGAACGCCTGTAACAGCTCTTACTATGAGAATCATTTATTTCAAACATCGTTGACTTATATACCAGCCAAACAAACCGCATCACACCATAAAATAGGAAATAACATTCATACAAAATCAAGCCGAAAGTGACTTTCAACGTGGAAGACTGTAATCAATGAACTGTACATAATTTAAGAACAGTAAATCGTATAATAATAATCTATAGATCAAAATGAAGCTAATAATAAGGGAAATGTAGATATACATAATCTAGTTGCTGAACAGTTACACAATAAGAATGTACTGTATAACATTAGTCCACTAATAGTTCTCAAAAGTTACCCGTAGTTTAATCTTCACTAGGATATAACAGTTACCACTAGGGTTGGTCGATAGGATTCGATTCGCATTAAGAAGGATCTGATACATATAACATTATTCAATACCTAGCAACCAATCAATTGTAAATAATTCAGTTAATCAGTTATAAATAACATTGAATTTGGTACATATTTTAATTAGTTCAAGGATGTATTAGTATTTGAACTGGATCATAAAACGATGATATACAAATACAGGTAGAAACATGCTTCAACTCAGTCACTAAGTGGATAATGTGATGGCGTTTAAAGCGAACTGTACTGGGTTCAAGTCCCAGAGTGCACATCAACATGTCTGGAATACAGCTGCATCCAGCTGTGGATTCCTAAATAGGACGAGTTACGCGTCCTGGATTCCACTGTTTATAATATTAAATCATAAATTCACAAAATGAAACCTATTTCTATATGTTCCATCATAGTATGTTAAAGTTGTAGTTGATCACTATCCTTGTCATAGTTTGTTGTTACTCAAAGTATAGTAGTATAAGATCCCATTATTATAGTCTTACGATCATTCATCTGTTCACTGAATACTTGGCTAGTATTCAGAAATCAGTTGATCACCTTGTAGAGATTCATTAATAACTATATGATTAATCATATTGACTATAGGATTATATGAAGGTTATAGATCTTAGCTAAACTATCACTTAAACTAAGAAAACTCTACAATCTCAACAAATTCTATACTGATACTTATCATGTACTCACTAATAATTAGCTTCAAGATGCGATTCATGAAGTTCTAATAAGAATCTGTGATCTGTGGTGTAGGATTATGTTAAGTATGAAATAGACAGATACCTCAAGCAATTGAATGTGGTCGTGAAATATCATGAATTGGTACTAGTTAGATATATCCTTTACAGCATACCAAGTCGGTAGCGAAACTGAGTTTCCTGGGTTAGAACTCGCATAGAGCGATGGTGGATATGCCCTGTTGAGGAGTCTCATTCTTAGTCAAAACTATTTATTTGTTTATTTGAACACAAAAATATTGTTACAAAGGGGCACCGAATACATATGCAGCACACAAATCAGTTGATTTGTGTGTGGGCTGTGATACAAGTCGGGTGCTCAGACTGAAGCAGATGGTTTTCTTGGGGGGCCACACCCGAAGCCTTCGACCTAAAGGTCTGATCCACAAGGCGGTCGAGCTACGTCAGGAGATGCGTTCCTATGGTAACCGATAACCAGCAATAGGTTCATACACCATTTGTTCTCTCACGATCCTGTAGCCCATGTGCACCATTGGTTTGGAATCAGAGTTTTCCAACTCCTCAAGAAGGACTCCTCGTGCCTACAAATCCAGTTAAAGCCCGTGCCGGACATTCACTTCTCGTCCTCTCAATTTTGTAAACAATAGTAATGCCGACAGAAAAAGCAGTGAGTAGGACTTCCCTGATAAAGGCTATATACGCGTGGCCATGTGAGAGCATTTCGAGAAGGAGAACAGACCCTCCTCACTTTCGGTTGTACCAGTGCATTTGGGGGCACTATAAGATATAAAGAGATAAAAATCGGCATACATACAATGAGATCAACTACATATTTCACAAAAGTGTTTTCTGTGAAAGATAGCAAATCATGCAGAAATATATTCTTCAATTGTAGGAATGTGGTCTTTGCTTTGTCAATCCTCACCATTACATCTACATTTGATTCTCCTTGTTCATCGATAATGCTTCTCAGGTACGTGAATGATTTCACATCTTCCAGAGCCTCTTCATCAAATGTGATTAAATTAATGTTCTTCAGTAATTCACATGAAAACGAGGAATAGATCAATTCAATTAACACTTTCTCTTATTAAATATTGACCTTCAAATTGGTTTCTTTTAAAACAATGTCCTTGTATATTTACACAAATATTAAAACAATTTTAGAAATAGTAAAAGCAAAAATGAAAAGGGCGCGCGCGCGCACACACACACACACATGAAAATAGTTTCAATATTCAATGGGTTTTGATTGTTAATCGATTTAAAGTGGAAACACATAGACACCTTTAATCTATAGATGTGTGTGTGTGTGTAGTGTGTGCAGATATATGCACAATCAGGTGTGATGTTTTTGTGTTCATCCTACTGAATATTGAATAGTTCTAAACCAATTATATAATGAAAGATGGGGAAGGTTAATAATTGATTGATTTTATTTATGGTGCATATATCTTGATACAAATTAACCGTTTATAAGCAATAGAATCTAAGACGATAGTTTCGTCCTATTTGGGACTCGTCAGCCAGATTTGTTGATGTTCACTGTGGAACTCGAACCTAGTATCGTTTGCTTTAAATACCGTCGCGGTATTCACTTAGCTACTGACATAAAGCGATCCTTACAGGATGCACATATGGTAATAAGAGATTGGTCAATTGCAGTCCTAAATAACAATGAGAAGACACAAGTAAAACAACAACCAAATGAATTTAAATCAACTGTTTGTTTTTCTTTTACAAACAAATTTTACTGAAATAAAGGAGAGTTATTAGACTGTTGTGAATAATAACACAGGTAGAAACAGTCAGAGTTCTTTCATCAAATGTGAAAACTAAACATTCACAGCTTCATGATAAGCAAAGATGGATAGTGGCAAGCAATGGAATCTAGGATGCGTGTTTCGTCCTATTTGGGACTCGTCAGCTGGATATAATTGCATCTCAGAGTTGATGTTCACTCTGAAACTTGAACCCATTACCGTTTGCTTCAAACACCATCTCATTATCCACTTAGTTACTGAGTCCTGTTAGCCACTTCCTTGTGCAATGGGGTGAAGTTGAAATTCACTTGGTGTTTGATTGAGATTATGAACCGATTGATGTTAGACTACCATTAAAAACTTGGAAGCACTGGACGACCGTTTCGTCCTATTGCTCACTGCTGAGGAGTGCCACTATGGGACGAAACAGCTGTCTAATACTTCTAGGTTTTCCATGGTTATCTAGCTTCAATTGACTCATGATCTCAACTATTAAAATTAGAAATGAATCTATGATTTCGAAAGGAGTGATGAAATCAAAATTAGTGAGAGAGTTACCAGAATGATGCAGTAAAGTAATAAGGCGCTTTAATAGTTGTGGATTTGGCAAATCAGAGAAGAATAGAGTTTGACTTTTGGTTAATAATCTTGAGAGATTTCAGTATATCAACCCGATACTCACTGTCAAAGAGATCTCTTGAAGTAGCGTTGCTAAAAGCTTTTAATCCCATTAGTCTAAGACTTTAGAAATATGCACTTGGAATCAAACATAGACCTTTCTTTCTGTCCCACTAATGTAACTGCTTTGGTAGGTACATATAAATTTGTATACGTAGTTGATGGCGACGTGAAAGGAATACATATGGTTCTTTGACCCCAATTAAGAACATATAATTTTGTTTTTGGTTGAGATCATGGATCAATTGATGTTAGACGGTCATGGAAAATCTAGAAGCACAGGACAACCGTTTCGTCTTAGTATAGGACTCAACAGGAGTGTGCAACCACGGTCCTAAACGCAGAATTCAAACCCAGAACCTATCGGTCTTGTGCGATAATGCTTAACCTCTAGCCCATTGTGCCGGCATCCAACGGTGTTAATGTTTAACTTCGACCGACCCAAGAAATTGCGCGACTATCTTCTATTGTCCGAGGTAGATAATTGTCTCTATCTGAGACGCGCGAGACTGAAGGTTCTGTACTAGGATGAATAAGCAATCCACTGCTTCTGGATTATAAACAGAAGTTGAGCTAAGAATAGTCCGTGATGTAAAATAGACCAAAATTCGTTATGAA